CCATGCACTTTGTAAACGTGCGTGGAGCCGTTGCTAAGCCGAATGGTAAGGCCGCATACTGGTAAACCTTGTTGTTGATTATGAACCACAGATACTTCCTGTGATGATGGTGTATGGTGACATGGAAGTATGCGTCCTTCAGGTCTATAACCACAAACCCTTTCTCAACAGGTGGACAGTGGACTCCAGGGTGACCATCCGGAACCGGCGTGGCTGAAGATAAGTGTTGAGGTCCCTGAGGTCCAGTATGCATGTGAGAGCTCCATCCTTTTTTGGAATGGTGAAATACCGGGAGTAAAACCCCCTGAGAATGTCTTGATGAGGGACCCGCTGTATTGCATTCTTTTGGAGTAGAGTGAGAACCTCCTCCTCCAGAGTGGGATTGGATGTTGTCATTCACAGATACCCTAGAGGAGTGAGTTCTACCAACGCTAGCCAGTAGCCGAATTTGATGATGTTCAGTACCCAATTGTCCTTTGATATCCTTTGCCAATTGTGGTAAAATGGGGCAAGCTGTGTGTGATGATCCTGAAGCAGAGGATTGATGCAGTCAAAGGTACTGCTTGGATTTCTTGTTGGGTGGATGATAAGATTGACGCTTATGTGATGTTTGCTGTTTATAGGGTGGAGCGGTAGAAGACTGCTGAGAAGATCTACCTTGAGAGCTCCTGTAAGGCCTGTACCCATGAGAAGCCTGCTGCTGAAATTGCTGCTGGGGAAATTGCCTTTGCCATTGTTGTTTTTGGAAACGAGGCTGTTGGTGAATGATGTAAGATTTAGCAGTTTTCTTGCTTTCATGTATGGACTTGAGTTATTCATCAGTCTTTTTGTTAAATAAACCTTTCGTATCAAAAGCCTGTTCTTCGATTTGCCTGTTCTTCGACCGGTCAAACAAGAGCCAAAGTCTGTCAGGCAAGAGAATAGTCGAAGCAGTCCAAGATTAAGGGGCAACAGAAGCAAGAATAGCCAAAAATACAGTCCAAAATCAAGCCAAATCAATCAAATTAGAGAGCTCTGTCCGAAACGTTCCTAGCACAATGACGGGGAAAAAGGAACTGGAGGCAGGGAGGGAATGCAGCATGCGTGCTAGGGGCAACCTAAACTTTGTATCTTTTTCAGAAAAGCTCTAGAAGGTTCCAAAGTTCCAGCGCAGGCGCTGATTTAACCCAAATGTGTGATTCACAGAGACCACACTGAAGAAAGTATGCTACTACAAGATGCTACCAACAGGTTTTATTTTCTGACAAGGGCAACTGTCATTTGTCAATGGCACGTAGAGGAACACACACACATACCCGTATGATCCATCTAGAGCTGGAGTGAGCAACCTATAGCTATAGAGCAGCAATGGTGAACCTATGGCACGTGTGCCACAGCTGACATGCAGAACCCCTTCTGCGGGCACACAAGCCGTAAATTGCCAGATCGCTACTCCCCCTGCAGCCAAAGCTTTCTGAAAATAATCAGTTCAGTTATCTGCAGTAGTGACCTACTTCATCTTCCCCAGATATCTGAGAGTTGGCAAGGAGAGGGAGATAGAGAAAAGGGCTGGACCTTCTTTGTGTCTCCATCCAACCTTCACTAGAACCAACTACCCTATATAATCCCTGACAAATTACCCTAGTAGAATGCTTGGTTGTGAAGCAATCTTATACATTTAACAACCTTTTGCAAAAGCACCAGATCTAAAGTAGGTCATACAAACAGGTATTAGAGTTCAATAGTGACAACTAGGTGTTTCCAAGCAGAGCTTCTTTAATTGAAAAACCTTCCAGAAGTAACATCCCAGACTATTTGTCTCCATGTGTTAATTACACTGAAATGTCTATGGATGAAAGTTGCTCTACGAAGGCATAATGGAAGGGAGTGATCTTATTTTTGAAATAGTAGGGTTCCTATAAACTTCAAAGGATGAAATGCTTTTCTCATCCTAGTATGCCCTTCATTTTAATGATAGAAAGATGTTGCAAGTTGGTGTCTACCTAATAGCAATTAATTTTATAAGTTGCCTTACTAAGCGTTTCTATGATACTGTAGACTATTCTAATATTTAACATTTTTGCCTGTCTAAGAAGATTTTCAAAGATTTCCTTTCCAAAAAGGTGTCTTCCGACTGTTCAAATAAAATCTCTTTGAGGATCAAGCCTTTTAAAGCAATGAGGATTGTAAGGAAAAGCCGGTTATTATCCCTTTCTCTCACACACATACATAGGCTGACACACATTGCTGAACTATTGGAAACTGATCTCATATATAAACACACCAGAGCACAAGCAGTTTCCCTAATATTTATTTTAATCCTATTTTAAAATAATACACATATTAGTCTTAATAAACAATAATGAGAGCAATTGATCAGCTATCAAATTTACAAAAGGATCACATCGTACAGTGGTGCCTCGCACAACGAGTGCCTCACACAACGATAAATTCACACAACAATGGCTTTTTCTGAAAAATTTGCCGGCTCACGCAACGATGTTTCCTATGGGGAATTTTCGCACGACGATGTCTCTTTTCACTCATTTAAAAGTGCCTTAAACTGTTTGAAACCTGTTTTAAACGCTTGGCATTGATAGTCCAGCTTGTGAAACGTAAGCAAACTTAATTTGGTGTTGTTCTGAGGCGTCGTTAATTTTTGGTGAATTTTCTTCTCTCTCATTGAGAAGCATTAGACGGACCAATTGGAACGGATTAACCGGTTTTCAATGCATTCCTATGGGAAATGGTGTTTCACAAAATGATATTTTCACAGAACGGTTTTTTTTTGGGGAACCAATTAACATTGTTGTGCGAGGCACCACTGTACAAGGTAACAAGAACCCCTTTCTTTGGCACTGTGAAGAGGTATGCTGAAAAACTAGCTTTTCCCCACTACTCAACAATATGGTCTTATCATCATGAACCATTAGGTATTTGCAGAAGTAGTAGGAAACAGAAATGATAATGTATTTATGCTTCATTATGAAACCAGTGCAAAATAGGAAAACGATTTTGATAAACTTTACCCGTAGCCCATGGAAACGGGGATTGCTATAGAAAAGCTTCATTTGTTCTGCTGGAAGTGGTCCTAGCACCTTCTGAATTGTAAAAAGTTGATCAATTTCACTTTCTCCGGGAAATAATGGTTGTCCATCACTAAGTTCACCAAGAATACAGCCTACTGACCACATATCTACAGACTTGCCATATGGTGCTCTGAAAAGAAAGCAAATAAATACTATTATTGATTGACAAATTCAAAATAACAAGAAAAAAGTATCTATTTCCCCTTGTATTGGTATGAAGGAAGAAAATTAGTATTCAATATCTTTCATCGTTAAATATCAAAGCTTTCATTTCTCCTCATCCCCCTCCAGATTATTTTTTGAAAGAAGGCTTCATAATACTCTTGTTTTTCACACACCTATGTCTGGTGGTAAGGAAGTGGCCTATCAGTATTTACAGCCTGGCCATTAGAGAGTTCATGAACAAACACATCCCTGTGCTAATAAATGCAAAAATATATTGTCTGTAGTCACAGACATCTATAGCACATGCAGAAACTAACAGATTTCCTCAGAATATGACCCTGTCCAAAAAACAGAACAAAAAGCAAAATAAAGCACTGTTATAAGATGTAATTTAAAATATGAAGCTGTTCAGTTAGTCCTCAAAGGGAAAAAAGTCCATTCAATTTAGTGCTGCTCAAAAAACTAGACAATAGAAATAAAAAGCCAGGATAATCACTCAATGTGCTCATTACACTGACTTGAATAACATATTTCCTTTTCAGTCATATAAAAGGCACATTAATGAATATGATTTACAAAATGGTAAGATGCTACATATAGATGCCAAGATTACTTACCCAAGCAGGAGTTCAGGTGAACGGTACCACCTGGTTGCCACATATTCAGTGTAGTTAGCATTGCTTCCTTCTGACAGATTCCGTGCAAAACCTTCATCAAGGCAATTTCAAAATTATTAAGTATTTGCATGTTTAAAATGTAGTTTCAATTTTAAATGTAAAGTTTAAAAGATACTTTAAAATGAAATATTCATTCATTTGGCCAAAAGGATATGACCCATTTTTCTTGCAGGTAGCATTGGAACATACAATAAAGGCACTTATGCAAAGAGGTTTGAACATTATGTAAAACGGAACATGACTTATATTCTCCTGCCTCTGTGTCTCATGTGAAAGGGGAGAGACAACTAATGGGGACAGAGTGTACATTTCCTCCTTTTGCACTAGGACTGAAGCACAGGGAAAAGAACCTGAAGTTGCTCAGATCCCCCTGTTGCTTCTGTGGAATGTGTGAAGTGAGCTTTCCACAAAGACCATGAGATCTTCTGTTCGAGATTCTGCTGTTACTTTCTGGCAGTTCATTTTAAAAATATTCACTACTTCAAGGGAAGCAGTTGCTTCCCTTAAAGGCTGTGTCTGCAAAGTAGTATGTTCTTATCCTGATATGCTTCTGCTGTCAAAATCTGACAGCTCCATTGTTTCCTATGGGTTTATCCTGATATGCTTCTGCTGTAAGAGAAAGGCTATTGTTTTAAATGATATTTTTAAAATAAATACTGAGATAGATTTGCAACGGGAATACGTAAAAGAATAATTTGTAACAGGAGACCATCATCCCCCTTCCTGCAGATTATACTCTGTGCAACTGCTTAGTAATTGTGGATGTGATAATGGTAGAGAACCATCCCTGGACAGGGAAGTACTATGTTAACTACTTCAGGGAACTTTACTATATAGATCTACACCAATATAAAGCTAACTATATGCAGACTTTTGTAACTGAATCTTCAGGCTCTGTTGGCACGAACATCAATTCACAGTTTGGATGTGTAATGAATTATTTGCTCTGGTTGTGCTATTTGACCCACTTACACACATTTAAAACCCTTTGATTTTTCCCTGGGCTAAGCTATGCAAATGTTTACATAAATACTCAGTAGTGCTAAAGTACTGGGAAGAAATAAGAGATACACTGGCATGTGAAACACCACTGTGTTATCATCTGCATCTGTCATAATTAGCCTATACTTAGCATTTTTCCTTCTATACTCTCACCAAGAAACCATGCTCTCACAGCGTCTAATAATTTAACTTACTGTACATACATTATATATTTCTAAACACAACCAAGATGCAACAGAAAGGCACAGACCAGATCTTTTAAAGGCACTTATGTACAACTCCATGAGTTGTTTGAAGAAACATGAGAGAAAAGAAATGACTTTTTTCAGATGCAAGATCGAAAATATTTATTTTAGATCTTACATCTGACTTATTTTCTTAAGTGTTTCTACTGTCAAAGAGTAACAGTTGCAAAGTTTCTACCTTCAAGGGACTTTTTTCATAAGAGTCACTCTGTCAATGAACTAGAGGAGATCTGATCTGATTCCCTGATCTTTTTACTGAGGACTTCTGATGAGCTTCTAAGGAATTCCAAGATATTCTAAGACTGAAAACCACCGGTTGTAGAAGAAAGCACACATATGTACTATATTAAAAGCACATACATCAGAAAAATAAATGAATTTAATTTTCAGATTTTTTTTTGAATTTGATGGCAAATACTAAATACCCTGTTTCCGCAAAAATAAGACCTAACCTGAAAATGAGCCGTAATATGATTTTTAGAATGCTCGTAATATAAGCCCTACCCAAAAGAACCCTAGATAAGTGAAACCCCGCCCTCCACCATCGTGCAGCAACCAGAATATGACATGACTGTATTTAAATAAATGTAGATTGTTGTGCATGAAAAAAATAGAACATCCCCTGAAAATAAGCCCTACTGCTTTTTTTTTTTTTTGGAGCAAAAATTAATGTAAGACCCTGTCTTATTTTTGGGGAAATATGGTAGCATTTATGGACAAGAATGTCATTCTTATTGGCCAGCCTAATTGTTTCTAGGATATTCAGGAAGGCATTCAACCACTACTGAAATTTTTTTTTATTGTGAGATATAAACCTTATGTAAGATATAGTATGCAAAGTACAAGTTTGCATTTTTTTTAACAAGTTCTAGATCCAGGTGGGTAACTTTAAGATAAAGGTAAAGGTTCCCCTTGACAAATTGTCCAGTCGTGTCCAATTCTAGGGGGTGGTGTTCATCCCTGTTTCCAAGCTGTAGAGCCAACTTTTGTCCCGAGACAGTTTCCGTGGTCACTTGGCCAGCGCGACTTAGACATGGAACACTGTTACCTTCCCACCATGGTGGTACCTATTTATCTATTCACATTTTTACATGCTTTTGATCTGCTAGGTTGGTAGGAGCTGGGACAAGCGACTCTGTCACGTGGATTCAAACTGCTAATCATCTGACCTTGCAGCCCAGAGGCTTGCGGTTTAACCCGCAGCACCACCACGTCCCTAGGTAACTTTAGTCCTCCAGAAATAGACTGCAACTCTCAACATTCCTCACCACTGTGCTATTGGCTAAACCACCTGAGGCTGATAGAAACTATAGTCAAACAACAACTGGAGGGTCACAGTTGCCCAACATGGTCTATCTTATAATGCACTGAGAAAGGTATAAACAAGGCCAATATAAAGGTTACAGATTTTTTTCAAATAGTCTAATTTAAACTTAACCTTTTAAACTATAAATTAAGACATACAATACATTAAAAGATACCACTTTAAAATTAGTACAAGCAACAAGAAAGCAAGCAAGCAATCTTACCAAAGTCACACAATTTTAAAATATCATTGTGGCTTATTAAGAGATTCTCTGGCTTGATATCTGGAATATTAAAAGTATAAGAAAAAGTTAAATTGTAGAATATGCCTTCCTTGGCATTACTAATTTAACAGAGCTACAGATGGTATTTATACTGATGTACCTGAACACTAGATAATAAATGTCAACATACATTTTTCCTGGAGAAAAAGTTTATCAAATAGGCTTGAAAACCTAGACTAGGAAATTATCTAAGCAAAATTAAACACTCATGAAATGCCACTGATTTTAATGGGAGATGTTTAAGCATGTCATGCCCCCATCATCTCAGTTTTTCTAAATGATAGTTGGGGCATCTACATGTAATCAGACATTACAGATGCTATATAATACAAAGTCAGATGGTATATAACACAAGCAATGTAAAATCTTTTGTTGACTCTAGCCATGAAATACTTCCAAATAATCACAAAACAACTTTAAAAATGTAGCTGCATAAATATATTAATATTAGAGATATGCAAGCACACTCAAAATTACTCCCTCATTTTGCATTGTAACAACTAGCAACTCCACACTCAAGGCAGCCATCTAGAGCCATTAAAATAGTGGAATGATCTCAATTAATTCTTAATAATTAAAAATTATTTGCTGTCCCATCAATTCCAACTTATGGTTACTCTTTCCAGAGATTTCTAGGTACAGAGTATTCAGATGTGATTTACCATTCCTTTCTACTGGGGGCGCCCTAAGACTGTGCAGGTTGCTCAAGGCCACACAAGCTGGCTCTTCTCTTGGGAGGCACAGTGAAGAACTTAACTCCAAAACTCTGCTTCTGTGGCTAGATACTTAACTCACTGAGCTATCCAGCCAACACCCAGCTGATTCGTACAGTACCTCAATTTGGTTAACTGGTAGAAATATACATCACAGACTGAGTGTCTTGGTCTCTATTCTTCATTCTATCTTCCCTCACATTAATCCATGTAATTAAAGCTTATTTATGATAATGGGTAAAATCACAACGTTTTCAGATGCCTTCAAGATGTTTTCAAAACTTTTCTATAAAAGAGCTTCACATTTCTGATATACTCACCTCTATGAACGATATCATTTTTATGACACCAATGAATTGCTTTAATTAGCTGGTAAATATAGCTTTTCACTTTTTCAGGTGGGACTCCATTTGGCATTTCTTCTAGCAATTCCAGCATATTCTATAAATTCAACATAATTATTAAAGGCTAAAAGGAAGTTGAGCCAGATTAGTACTAAAATACTGTGCAATAACATAATTATAATAGTTGTTATAATAATATAATTATGCAGGTAACCATGCTGCTTAACATTGTAATATTTTAATTTAGCATTAAAGGAGCCCTCATTGTACATAAAAGAGTATATTTCAGTTTTTATCAATTAAGAAGAAAATTGCAGTTAATCTGGCCATTTTACAAGGAAATAGAAATCAGTTCTTATTTCAATAAAACAACCAGAATACTTAATATCATTATTATAAATAATGTAAACAATCACTATACAGTGGAATTAGAGCACTTTGCAGCATGGCAGGATGAAATGGAAACTTCCTGTTACAATTTTGAAACTATTCTTGTCTAATGCACTTGTTTCCTAGTCAACCAAGACATGCCACTGTATTTCATTAGGGATGTAAATCTTCACAGATGAGGGAGGGAAAGCAGCAAAAGTTTGCTCCCTGTTCAACAACATTATGAGAGTCTGTGTATTTTTTATATTTTGGAACTTTTTGCTCCAAAATCTGCAGATCTATTTTTTACACAAAAACTTGTAGATAAAAGTTGTGTTTTGCACAGAATAAAGGTTTTTATATGCAAACTAATTTAAAAGGAATGTACCCCCTCGCTGAATTATGTTCAGAAGCAAAACACATATAGGTTACGTGGCAGTGGAATAATATGATCAGCATCCAGACAGGGCCCTGGATGTTATGCTGGCATACCACATCAGATACACTATATTACCTCAAACATTGGAACATGTTTCAAGCAGTTGTTTTGAAAATCTGCATCGTGTGTTATTCATATTGTTGCAACAATGTAAAATTGTATTCACTGTGATTTCCAGAGGTGAAAAGTAGGGCAATTATCTGGCGGGAAGAGCTATTCTTTTTTTAAATCACCTTCAGCTCTTTTTATAAATGTAATTTATTTATCACATTTCTACCCCACTCATCTAGTGCCTAAGCACTACTCAGGGCAACTAACAGCAGTTAAAAACACAACTACCCACCCTGGCTCACAGAGGCATAAATAATAAGATGCAGACCAAAACATAAAATAACCAAAATATAAAATAAACCTAGAGGCAATGGCAAAACAAAATCAATATCCAGTTCATGGATCTGATGTCAGAGAGGGTAAGATGTTTCTGAAGGCCTCTCCAAACAGAATAGTTTGTACTCTAAAGGCCAGAAGGAAGGAAACCTGGCAGATATCCATGGGCAGGGCTTGAAAAAATTTAGAATATCTCACCAGTCAGCCAAAAATTTCACCATTCAGCATGGCCAGCCTATAGCCTTGCAATTTATTGGGACTGAGAATCACTGATTTATACCCTCAGATTTGGGTTGCGCGCCTGTGGGGTCATGAAGCTTGTATATTGAATCCCTTTCTTTTGAATGTCTCCAGCAAAAATAAAACTGAAAGCAAAAGCACCCGGCCTCTTAAGGAGTCATGGTTCCCTCCTACCCCAGGATGTGTCCTCGTTCAGTTGAAATTGGGAGCAGGGAATCTCCATATTCTTCGGCATGGGATTACTCTACATTCTCCTGCAGAGCTACAGTATATCTCTATGTGCCAGTCAAACTCTCTTCTTGCGAGAAGAGGGCACTTTTGCAATGGGAGGGGAGGAGGACTGCAGGATTTGAGAGAGAGAAAGAGAGGAGGGGAGGAGGCAAGCAAGAAGGGAGCTGTGACTTGTCCAGCAGCATTTTTCACTCGTCACAGACGAGTGCATTTTTCAAGCCCTGTCCATGGGTAACGCATTCCATCGTGGTGTGGCCACCAACGAGAAGACCCAGTTCCTGGAGGCAGTTTTTCTGGCTTCTCTAAGGTTGGCTATCCACAAACATGAAACACAGCTGGACCGAGTGGCCCATCTTAGGGAAAGATGCTCTGTCAGGTAATGAGCTCCCAAATTGTTAAGGGCTTTATCATTACCGACACACTCAGAAACAAATATACAATTGCCCTTCTGTTAGAAAGTTATGTTCCATATTGATTTGGACTTATTACATCTTTGCCTTAGATTCATATCACATTTTATCTTGAGAGCCTATGGCTGTCAGAGTTCTGTCAGATGTTTCTAATTTTGTCTGCTGAAACAAGTCAGACAAGATCTGTTTGCCTGGGTGCAGTTTGCTTTAAGTAGATAAGATCTTTCTTAGATAGAAAGTGCCATTACAACAGGTATTCTTGCAAAATGCACTCTTATCCATAGGCAGCAGTTAAACTACTGGTTGAGAAGCAAATGTTCAGTGCAACAATTCAGTGCTTAAGAAGCACTGAAATTGCTATTGCCAGCCCTAATTAGGGTTGTACAAAAATCTTTCTCAGCATTTGATTTAATTTAAGGTTTAATTGAAGGACAGTTTGTGTCAACATGGAATGCATACTTTTATTGTTGCATGTATGTATGTTACCTCACTTTCTTCAAACCAACACGCTCTATTTTAATAGTTAATTTAATATTAATTGAATGTAATAATTTTAGTTTTAATAGTACATACTGCATTGATATTATTAATTCTATCCAAAGTCTAATCCTAGAGAATGGCATTACTTTTACCAATATTATATACACCTCTCTGCACAGCTACAGGACTCCTTTAAATATGTGTAAAGTTGTTTAGCAAAGTACAGTATTACTTGGAAAACAATGTTGCTGAATTGTAAGACGGACAACATATAGACTGGGCTGCACATAGTTCTTTGGGGCCCAAATGCTTGCACACTGGGAGGGCCCCCCCACACTACATTTTTCCAAAAGCAATCCCCCAAAAGTCCCCTGCCTTCTAACCTTTGCCATACTATGAGGAGTCTCCACATACCCAGGATCCATAAACATTCTAAAATATTTTTTAAAAAATAAATATATATTTGGAGAATTAGAATGCACAAGGGGGAGTTTCAGTTACAAAAACTTGTAAGAATTTTTCTGGGTTGGTTGGAATTACTAGACGAGGTATGGCCCTCCAAAAACTAGGGATGGCTGTGTATGGCTAAAACAGTGATATCAGTTTTTTGCTCTTGACAAAAAAATAAAATAAAATAAAAAGATAGAGAGAGGGGGACAGAAGAAAAATCCTTCCTCTTTTCTTCTTGCACTAAAACTTCTATGTGCAAAATTCCCTCCCTGAGAAATCCCATTACAAATCTTGCAAGGTTTATGGGAATTTTGAAAGTAATATTTTTAGAAGAAGCACCACCACAAATTATTGCAACTCTTGCACAGGATGATATATTTCATGTGTATGGCATTACGCTGTGCAGTATTCCCCAGAATTTGACAGAATGTGCAGAATGGCATTCTTCTTGAATAGATTTCTGCAGAATCGTGCCCAGGGTTTCTCAAAAATGGTACTGAGCTGCCCAGAACCCGGCAGTTTCAGTGTAGATTGAACCTCCTTATCTATGTTATATGTTCTCCCTTATGTATATTTCTTAGGAATTGATGACAGGCCAGAAAGTGACCATCCCCCCCTTAGAGTGTCTTTAAGATTCCGACAAAATCAGTCAGGGATATTAACAGACCATAAAATGCTGGGTCATGTTTTAGGTGAGAAAAGGCTTAAATGGTCTATTAAAACTGATGACAGTATAAGGCTGATGCTGAGCACAAATAAACTCCAAGAGCTACAAGAAGATGCTCTTCTGGGCACCCAGAACATTTGCAAGGTCTACCAGGATATAATTTTTGCACTTAAACCACACCTAATCATTACACACCCAGAAAGAACATCTGAAGCTCAATGGTCGTGGTTTGACAGCGAATGTAAGACTGAGAAAAAAGAGCTGAGCAGAGCAACAAGACAAGCAAACCATATTGGCACTGATGAAGCTACAGCTTTCCTACAACATCTACAGAGAGAATATAAATCTCTACTTAGAGGGAAAAAAGAAGGCTCTCTACTTAGAGAACTGGAAATCTTTGGGCCAGGCCCTCATTGAGGGTAATGACCCCAAATTCTGGAAGCAGATAGAAAGAGGCTTCTTACAGAGAGCCTTTGAGATTGCCAACTCCATCACGCCAGAGGTATGGGTCTCCCACTTCAGCCGCATTTTTGGGGGTAGTATTCATACAAGCATTACACATGAGACCCTCTCTAATTCCTCTGAATGGCCAACTGTTTCCCCCAAAGAAATTGGGAACCTGATTCAAACTCTTCAGAATGGCAAGGTTCCCAGTGAAGATACGATCCCCGCTGAGGTATTTGCTACTGACATTCAGTGGTGCTCTCCCATTCTAGCCAGTCTATTCACCTACATTAACAGTACAGGCAACCTTCCCACAGGTTGGCAAACGAGCATTGTTGTGCCAATTTCTAAGAAAGGTGATTCTCTAGATCCTTGTAACTTTAGACCTATCAGTCTCTTCAATGTGGCTTCTAAGCTTTATGCTAGATACTTCCTGAATAGGCTTCCAGATTGGGACAACAAACATTCTGTCATCTTCGAAAAACAGGCAGGCTTCAGAAAAGGCAGAAGTACAATAGATCAAGCCTTTGTTTTACATCATGTAATTAGTAAATATGCCAACCCACCAAATATTTTTACGCTGCCTTTATGGATTTTTCATCAGCCTTTGACCTGATAGACAGAGAACGCCTATGGTATAAATTGGGAAAAACAAACATTGATAAGAGACTCCTGTGGCTCATACAGCAACTACATAAAGAAAATACGATGCA